TGTGGGGGCATCAACTTTCTTAATAAATATGACGTTTCTATCCAAACCTCTGTAACGCCCATCTAGTGACTGGGTGAGACTATGCAAATAGGACAATCAAAACTCTGAGCGAGGGGATTGATCAGTTTGTATTTCCACTCCCCGGGATATAACGGTGTGTTGCCATCTTTAATAAGCGAGACCCAGAGGCCTTTGAAGAGCGAGGGAAAGATCTGTGCTTGACGCCGCGGAGGCTGCCCAAGACCAGATGCGACACACGATGGCACAGAGATGCCAAACAGCAGCGCCGTGACTAGGGAGAACTCTGTTTTTATTGACGTGATGCGTGAGTTTGGTGTTTGGGGCTTTCTCCTCGTCTGGCTACACTATAAACCGGTGCGCTGCTCAGTCCTGGGCCTTCTCACCGTCGTTCCTACACTTGAGCCCATTGTCGCAATGTGTCAATCCTTAAGGTTTTCCTTCGGCGCCCCTCTGCGTTTGGGAGCATGATGTCCTTCTTCAGGGACTGGTCTCTGCAGTTAACATGTACAAAGTGCATGAGACAAAGTCTCACCACCTTGGCCTCTCAGAAGCATTCTGTCTGTACTTCTTCCAAGACAGACTTGTCTGTTCTTTTGGCAGGCCATGGAAATGTCTTATTTTTCACCATCACAGCTGAAATGCACTGATTTTTCTTCAGTCTTCCTTACTCCGTGTCCAACTTTCATACGCACGTGTGGCAATGGCCAGTTCCACGGTTTGGGGTGGAGCACCTCAGTCTTCAAAGTAACATTGATTGCGGATCCAAGCAAGAGGACACCCTCGCCAGTTTCCATCTTTTCCCATTGACCATGATGTTACCGATTGGTCCAGTTGTGAGGATTTTGGTTTTCTGTACACGGAGTTGTCATCCACACGGAAGGCGGCAATCCTTGCTCTTCATCAGAGAGTGCTTCCAATCCTCACTTGCAGCAAGCCATGTTATGTGACCTGCTTATTGCAAGGTGTTAAAAGGCCTGATGTAGACTTCTTCTTCATAATCCAGGTTCTCTGATTCCTTGCTCAACTTCTTTAATAAACTCCCTTAATTGTGAGTGTCTTCCGTGAGTTCTGTGTGGCAACTGCAATGAACTATCGAATCCAGCATCGGCGTAAAGTGGCAGGGGAGGAAGGAGTGGAGTCAGAGTGGGTAGAGAAGGCGGGGCCCCGGAAGCCGGTCTGAGCCCTGCCTCCTGGTGTAGGGAAGCCAGAGTCACATATGTCCACCTCCAAGCACCTCATGACAGAAATAGTGATGATTCCCTTGAAAGGCTTAGTCAATTATCAAAGACTACTAAATAGACATCTGCTTTTCTACATAAATAAAACGTAATCTACCTACTTAAATAATAAAATATCAAAGGAGGAGCTGATACCAAGGGCTCAAGTAGAAAGCAAATGTTCTGAGAATGATGATGACAACAAATGAACAAATGTGCCTGACACAATGGATGGATGTATGGATTGTGATAAGAGTTGTATGAGCCCCCAATAAAATGATTTTAAAAAGAAATGAATAAAAATATCTCAATACATATGCAAATTCTTGCATCTAAGAACAGGGGTTACTTTAATATCTATTAATTAGCCATTCAATATTAATATGTTAGACCAGAATCCTCAAAATAAAATTTTAAAATCACCAATTCTAATTCACTACATTAGAATCTGTTTTAATGTGAGCAGTGATAAATTGAACTTTCTGATAAAAGGGGGGCAGGAGCATAAAATTAGCAAATGTTAAAACATAATTAAGTCTGATGTCTGTTTAAGAACATAAATTGTTCTCAAGTATTCTGTAAGAGTAATTTATGTATTTGAAAACATAATTGTAATGTGAACAGAACAAATTAATCTATTTACACTACTGTGCTAAGCTATTTTAAACTATCCTTATCAAAACCTATGATTGAAACACCTAACCAGCAATTATATGTAACTGAAAGTGACACAACTCATTTTGATTAAGAATATGTGACATACACTTCGCCCGTCATCCAAACTAGTGAAATCTAACCACATGATCATTCTCTTTGGTTAAAACAAAGAAAAACCTTGGCATTAGAGTATGTAATGTCATGACACTGGGGACACTGCCTAGCCTAAAAATATAATTATTCAGGCACGTGCCCCACACAATAAGAACACGTTATGTACCTGGAGAGAGAGGGGGTGGAGTATGTTGAACCTCTATGTGAACTCAGTGTGTTTTACTGAATGTTTTGTGAATAAGCAAACTTTTGAAAGATTGTTTACAAATCGTTGTTCCACTATAACCATACTATGTGTTCTTTATAAATATGAGTATTGGCAGATGGAAAATAATCTAGCTACATCAAGAACATTACCAGCTAAATTTTCAGAACATTGAATGTGCTATTACAAATCTAATGAAACATTTCTCCAATTAAATCTTAGAAAAGTTTAAATGGCAGGTTGTTTTATTTTTAATTATTTTGACCTAAGAATATTAACCCACAATCATCCAAAGTTACATCAATATGGTTTGAGTCAGTGCTTGAGGGTCTTGGCATCAATTTATGTGACCAGTCATTTTACTTAGCTTAACCGAACGCAGACAACAGCATCTGAGAAAGCTCTGACTGAATACTGATATATTATTTAGAACCTTATTTTTTAAAATACAATCAAGATACTTACAATTTAGTCAATTTAGCCGAAAGAGAAGATAAATAAAGTTTTATTCAAATTAGCTTTCAATGATGTGAGTAATTTTAGTATATTGATCTTCACCTCGTTAGGAAGCAATAAGCCTTACAGCTAGGAGCTAGAGCTCAAAATCCAAATTGCCTAAATTCAGACGCTGATGATCAATGAGTGAGGAGAGAGGCAAATTATTTAACTTCATCAAGTATCATTCTCTCCATCTATAAAATGGGGATAATACATACTAGCCACAATCTTATAGAATGTTAAGGATTAAATACATATTATATATGGGAAGCTTAAGAAAATATGCTGTATTTGTTGGGCATTGTGCTAAACACTGAATAAATATTAGGCATTGTTTAGAAGCTTCTTTTAATAGAGTTAATAAACTTGTAGTTATCAAAAGTCCTAGAAAGCAGGCATGACATGGATAAATAGAAAGTTTTGTTTTAGAAAAAAATTTACAAGATAGTTTGGAAATATGCCTTTAAAGATATATTTAAGATTAAGAAAATAAAAGTTGGTGATTCTCAAATAACTCATGTGATGAGCATTTAGAAATAGCTAACATATGTGTTCTTTTATACAATAGCTATGTTCTTGAAATCTAAAGACGCTTGCCAGTAAAAACATCTTTAAAAAGGAAATTCTAGGATGTCATTGATATAATTTCAAAGTGCTCTAAACCTTATTTCTAATTATTAGTAGTTTTTAACATTCCTCCAATGTGTCACACTCAGTACCTAGGCAGCGCTTCCATTCCCAGTTCTTCCATCTAGTGTGCTATCATCCTTTCTACCCCCGCGCACAAATTCCAGTGCCATCAAATTCCATCCCCTTTCCTTGCAGCCATGCGCCATGTGTATATTGTTGACATCTTTGCTTATTTTATATTGCTGACTACTAGAAGAAAATCTGTAGGAGTTATACCCCTTGGGCCTGCAGGAGACTTTTATAAGATGGATATAAATGGTTTAAACTGTAGGAACAAGTATAGATTTTAAAAAAGTTAAAAATTGAATACCTATGTATGACAAAAATGATTAGAAAGAAAAAAATACACTGAATAAAAATACTAAAATTATTTGTACAGCCATACATTATATAGAAAAAAACAATATTATTGGATCATGCTTTATAGTTTATACTAGACATTCATTCAAACTGCTTTGCTCTAATATCCCAACAATGCTGGAAGGAAGGCAGAAAGTAGGCATTTTCAACCTCAGCAGTAAGGACATTTTAAGGCAACGTATTCTTTGTTGTGAGCAAATGCTGACCAGCAACTCCAGCCCTCACCCACTGGATGCCAGCAGCATCTTCCCCGCCCCAAATTGTGACCATCAGAAATCTTTCCAAACACTGGCCAATATTCTCTGGGACACAAAGTCATCCCTAGCTTCAAGAAAGAGTGGCAAACAGAACGAGTATATTATTATAGCAAATGTTATAGTTGAAACCCAAGAGAAATTATGTGACTTTTCCAAAATATTGATTCAATGGTATAAACTTGATATTTATGGGACTATACCACAATTGTCTTGAGCAAATCGTTAATTACCATGTAAACCAAATGTGATCCTTATATGACAACTATCAGAGACATCTCTGAACTCCCTTTCTTCTCGACTGATTTGGTCGTTATTCTTCCTGCCCAATTGAAGATATGGCCTTATAATTCCAGGCCAAAAATAAGCACTCTGAAAATTCACCCAGGCTTGGGACATATTTACATGGGGTATGTCTCAATATTTTTCAAGGCTGTTTCTATCTTAGTGTTCAAGGTTCATGAAATAAGCTATGACTCTTATTAATTAGTTCATATGCAATCGGTCTGACACTATTGTACATACAACACACTGAAAACATTCTCTTTTCTTTTGTAGAAGAATCCTATCAGGAGAGCTCTTCACTTATTGCAAGTTAAAGACAGCACTGAAGACACTTCGATTGTCTGACCAAAGATACTTCTAATGGTTTTGGCACTTGGTAAGCTTGTTCAATAATTTGATTGTGTGCAGCTTTATTCTTTTAATTAAAAGATTTTTTTCCCTTGCACATTACTGTCCTTTTCCAATGTGTGAAAAATACTGGGAAATGAGATGAATTCTCCTATTCATATTCTAAGCACAAACACTTCGTACAATTAGTCAACCACCGTATCTAACAGTGTCTCACCACTTTTCAAACTGTTTCTGGACAAAAGAAAGAACAATGGAATTGTCCCATGTAATCCACTGCCATCTATGTGCAGACTGATAAGATGAACAGAGAAAATTTGAATGTTAAATGATTGAGGTTATAAACCATACCTTCCATGACATATACCAGGGATCCCACATCGCCTTCCTTGATGATGCAACTGTCTTTGCCGTACTCCACCGGGTACATACAGTCCACAATCTCCTGGATCTGTGACAGTTCCAAGTTTTTCATAAAATCATTGTCAAGGATGGCCTCCTTTATGAGATCCTTAGACCTGTAACAAGAGAGGGAAGATGTACTGGCAGGTCTGGCAAGCGTTTCAATAGTCTGTGAAGTTTGTCAGAGCAGTACAGTGCTCTAGCACACGGCACTTGCATTTTCTGATTAGGAGTCCAATGACTTTAGGAAAGCCCTCAGAATGAAATAAACACAGAGAAGCATGGAAACATTTGGCATTTTGGTCAGAAAACATTTTCCTTTAAATAAAGTATAATTTAATTAATATATGAGTAACACACTTCAAATCATAGAATTTAATTTTTAGAGGGTTTTTCCAACCACAACGGTTGTAAAAAAGCCATCATAAAAACATTTAAAATTGGAATGTGCTATTTAATTAAAGGATAAATAAGAAGTAAAGGAATCCAAATTCTACATAACATGTTGTTATCAGGTATCATATTTCCTATGCTTATATCTTAGAGGCCATCAAATGACTGACTGCTTGACTTTCCGCTTACTTGGCAGAAAAAAAAAAAAGATAATGAGAGCCCCCCTGGCAATTAAAAACTTTTGTACTATGACCCATAATCGAACATAAAGTATAGGTACCTGCTTGTTCAGCCCCCTGGATCATCCCAGAATCCCCAAGGCAGTATTACCTCCCACTGTGGGAAGCACTCTTATAGAGGAACATCAGGTATCTATTGTACCACATACAGTGTTAGTAAAACAGAATTTCTTTACTTATTCCTTGTGTGTCTCTTCCACTCAAATTTAGACTCCAAGAAGACAAGAACCATTTTGATTTAATTTCCTCTGTACTGTAGTATGCCCAGTCTTTATCATCACAATGCCAAACATAAGGGGGTATTCAGGGAAAAATCTCTACAAAAATAATTTTAAGAATTGGATTCCTAATTTGTTTGAAACAACTGATATAAGTGTAATAGTTCTTTTCCACACCTTATGACTCATAAGAGAATAGCCCATTTAGTAGCTCAAATTGAGGTATCCAAATAAATAAAACTCTATAAAACAAGATGTTTTAAATGTAGTATGATTTATTAATGGGATTTAAATGCACATTGTCAATAGGGACGATAGTGACAAACGCAGTCATTGAGGTTCAGTAGTTAACAAGACAGTGTTCTAAAAATATGATTAAACGATAGTGATAAGTTGATTTGCTGGGCTAACAAGTTCCAAATGACTATCTAAAAAAGTAACACACACACACACACACACACACACACTCCCATTGAGTCGATGCTGACTCATGGCAACCCTATAGGATAGAGTAGAACTGCTCCTGTGAATTTCCAACATGATAACTCTTCCAGGGGTTAGATAGCCCTGTCTTTGTCCCGTGGAGCAGCTGGCTGGTGGTCTCTAACTGTTGACCTTGCAGTCAGCAGCCCAACATGTAACCACTACACCACCAGCACGCCTTTTAAAATGACTTCCTAGTGGTATACAGATGAGAGGGTATGTGTGTGTGTGTGTGGGGGGGGGGGAGCAACAAAATATATGTTATAAATGGTAGATGATAAGGGTGCAAATATCTCATTGTAGCAGTAGTACCTGAGTATGGGTTCGGGTGGTACCTGAGCCTACAGTAAAGACTGAAACAGTATCATAAGGAAATAAACTAAGAAAAAAACAACATGCAAATACAATCAGCTGTTCAGTAAATCAATGACTAGATATTTATTACTGGTTGGCTATAATTGGTTCATGCAATATTAATCTGTTTGGAGCATTTTTACATCGTTTGTTTTAAGATCTAAATAGCAGTCACTCTTACTGAAAGAATTGATGAATAACCATTCAATCAGTGACTAAGGATCAGTGACTAAGAACGATGTGGCAGTTACATAATGACCTCATTTGGAGGTACCACGAGATAAATAGCTCACTGGAGGCCAGGTACACTCACTCCCTGCAAGACATTCCTGATGACAAGACAGATGGAGGTACGCTAGAGCCCTGAAGCTGGAAGAGCCATGTTGAGACCCCTGTGAGCGTTAAGATGTTTCCACTGCCACTGGATCCACAAGACTTTCCACCCACTGGCCTGCGATCTTCCTGCATTCAGCATCATTGCATGTGTTGTGTGAGTCTGAAGAGGAATGTATAGATTGGTCATGGACATATGGGCTAATATCAGATTTATGGACTTTATCTTGACTGGGCTGGGATGTTTTCTCAATATAAAATTGTTCTTTTATATAAAACTCTTTTTTAAATCATTTTATTAGGGGCTCATACAACTCTTATCACAATCCATACATACATCAATTGTGTAAAGCACATTTATACATTCATTGCCCTCGTCATTCTCAAAACATATGCTCTCCACTTTAGTCCCCAGCATCAGGTCCTCATTTTTTTTCCTTTCCCTCCTTGCTCCCCGCTCCCTCATGAGCCCTTGATAATTTAAAA